TACAGCACACACACACACAGCACACACAGCACACACATACAGCACCTTCCCAAACACACAGCACCCATAAACAGCACCCACACACAGGCAGCACACACACACATGCAGCACACACACAGCACACACATGCACACACACACATACAGCACCTTCACAAACACACAGCACATACATACAGCACCCACACACATACAGCACACACACACACATACAGCACACACACACCACACACACAACAAACACACACATACAGCACCTTCACACATACAGCACCCACACACAGAGCACACACACACACACAGCACCCACACACATCCAGCACCTCACTCCCATCACTACTAAGCCAGCAGCAATGACTACAGTACACATCAACCCCAATATATAGTAAAAACCAAAGAAAAGAAAAAGTTACCTGCCCTCTCTCCTTAATCCCTATGTATATTTAGACAAATGAAGGTCATATGTATATTTAGACAAATGGAGGTCATTTAAATGACCTCCATTTGTCTAAATATACATAGGGATTAAGGAGAGTGCGCAGAGAGCGCAGGTAACTTTTTCTTTTCTTTAGTTTCTAATTTTTCACTTTGTGTGCTTCTGCAGGAACAGTGTTACAAGTACTATGTATTTACGTCTTTGGCCACTGTAGACCAGTCATTGCATATACTCTACATATATTTACTGTCTTCACATACACAAATATAAATAACTAATAATACACATAGATACACTATTATTCATTCATTCATACATACATACACACACAGTCACAAACATACACAAACACGGACATAAATAGACACACACTTCTATTCATGCACATTCACATGTATGTAGACAAACAATGAAGAAATCAGTCACCCATATACATAGACACACAATCATACATAGAGTCACAAACATTCCTAGACACACACAGTCATACACACAGTCACATGCATACATGGATTGACATGCTATCATCTGTGACGCCAAAATTAAAAAAGACGATTGAGTATTGTATTATTTGTGTGTAGTTTACAGACGTGTTTTGATAAAAATGTTCTCTAAACATGTTTATTGTAAAATGCAATCAATGTGAGAAGTAAAATGTCAGATATTTATATCAAGGGTAATATTGATGATAACTGAAATTTTAAGTGGCAATTTTAATGTCCTGGGAAAAGGAATTTTTAATCTCTCTGATTATTTTTGTAGGACAAAAACAAGACCACATTAAAAAATGTTACACACTGATTTGAAACAATTGTCTTCATAAACCATAAAACAGTGTGTGCGTTTGCATGCAGTATCTATTGATGAGCTGGAGATGCACAAATCATATATACTACAAAAGCAACAAAAAGCAATTGAGGGGCTCTAGTGATATTGCTCAAGCTGTATTCCACATTTCAGCACAGTATGTTAGGCATTTTCCTATGACTAAAAGGAAATACAGTAAAATAGAACTCATGTGGTCTCTCTCTGTGCAATTACCAGAAAAAAACTCATGAAGGCAATTAAATTAGTAACTGCACTGTTGATAATCTGGTTTATTTAGCATGACACACTTGAAAATTCTAAACGTCTCAGTTGTAACAATAACACACTTGATAAAGATGAACCAAACTGAGGGGACCTTTGTGGAACATGTGACTCTTCAACGTACTTTAACAGGAAGAAATATTTTTGCTGGTCGTTCTTTGAATTAAGCTCCGAACAATGTGGACTAAAGTTAACTCAAATTACATTACTAGCCAGAGCTTCTAGGCGTAATATATAACCATTTCTTTAGTTCTCCCATGGTAACTTAGAAACCCCAGTTTTATGAAACAGGATTCAAATTAAGATTTCTGTCAATGATATAATATGACGTCACTCCGGCTCCCTGCATCACTCTGGGGCGGGCGAGGGAGCCGAGCAGGGAGATCTCACAAATCAGCGCTCCCTCACTGCCGGCTTTTCGTGTCCACCCGGCTGCCTTCCTGCATGTACACCTTTCTTCTGCCTGCCCAGCAGCTCCAACACCCCATTCTACAGCCAGCCCAGCAGCCCCAACTGGCCACAGGTTGGAAGGCTGGTGGATTTATATACATTTTTTTTTTAAACTAACTTGTAAGTGTTGGGGGGAAATGTGTGAGTGTGTGTGTGTGTGTGTCTGTTTGTCAGTAAATGTGTATGTGTATATCTGTCAGTGTGTCTGTGAGTGAGTGAGTGTGTCTGTCAGTGAATGTGTGTGTCTGTCGGTGTGTGTGTGTGTCAGTGAGTGAGTGTGTCTGTCAGTGAATGTGTGTGTCTGTGAGTAAGCAGTGTGTGTCAGTGAATGTGTGTGTGTCTATCAGTGTGTGTCTGGGAGTAAGCATGTGCGTGTGTGTGTGTGCCAGTGAATGTGTGTGTGCCTGTCAGTTTTCGTCTCTGAGTGAGTGTGCCTGTCATTGAATGTGTGTATGTGTCAGTGAAGGTGTGTGTGTCTTTCAGTGTGTGTCTGTGAGTGAGTGTGTGAATATCTGTCAGTGAGTGTGTGTATATCTGTCAGTGTGTGCCTGTCAGTGAATGTGTGTGTCTGAGTGATTGTGTGTATGGTAGTGTGTGTCTGTGAGTGAATGTGTCTCTGTGAGTGTGTGTGTCTCTTAGTGAATGTGGGTGTGTGTCTGTGAGTGAGTGTGTGTGTATGTCTGTTGGTGTGTGTGTGTGTCTGAGTGAGTGTATGTATGTGTGTCTGAGTGATGTGTGTGTCTGTCTGTCAGTGAGTGTGTCTCTGAGTGAATGTGTCTGAGTGATAGTGTGTGTCTGTTAGATTGTGTCAAATCAGTGAGTGTGTGTGTATGTCAGTGTATCTGAGAGTGTGTGCCTGTGAGTAAGTATGTGTGTCAGTCAGTCAAAGTGTGTGTACGTCTTCAACAGGAAGAGGTGTGGCCATGTCCCCCCATGGGCCCACGGTGCTGGTATTGTGGCTGCACCGGGGCCCACACACTAATGGGGCCTACCGAGTGGCCCATACTATTAGGGCCACCCGGTGAGCATGTTTCAGCAGGGGTCCGGTCGGGCGCTGAACCCTTTAACAGCGCAAGCAGCCCCTTTACGGCAGCATGGGAGGAAATGTGTGTGTGTGTGTGTGTGAGTGTATCTGTGTATGTGTGTAAGTATGTCTGTGTGTGTGTGTCTATATCTGTGTAAGTATGTCTGTGTGTGTGTGTGTGTGAGAGTATATCTGTGTATGTGTGTATATCTGTGTATGTGTGTAAGTATGTCTGTGTGTGTATGTCTGTGTGTGTGCGCAGGTATGTCTGTCTGTGGGTGTCAGTATGTACATGTGTGTCTGTCCGTCTGTCTGTATGTCTGTCTGTGTGTGTTTATCAGTGAGTGTGTCTGTCAGTGAGTGTGTGCGTGTGCCTGTCACTGAGTGTATGTGTGTTTGTTAGTGTGTGGCATGGATGGTGAGCTGTTTCAGTGGTGAAATGGGCAACTTGACTGGATTTGCCCCCAGGACTAAGGCTGCCAGCCCTCCCCTGCAGGTAGGGGTGGGGAAAATTCAAATTAGGGGGTGCTCGAGGTCCATTATACCTAGGGCAACACAAATCCAAAATACACCACTCTAATGAACATTCTATCAGTTGTATCTCTTCCAATACACATGCATCCATTTGCAGCCTATGAAAATTCGAGATGAGGACAGTGGTTTAATAAGCATGTGTCAAAAATATATATATATATTGTTTATTAAAGAATATTTTTCAAAGATTGTATTTAGAACCAGGATTATGAAATAAAGCAAGTGTGGATACACAACATTTTAAAATGATTCACAAAAATGTATTGGAATTCAATGTAGATTTTATTTAAGAACTGCACATATTTTGAGTTATTCCTCATGTGTTATAAAATAATTTGTGTTTTTATGACATAAAATACAAGTACATTTTAAGATTTGAAAAGTGTACATATATTAAACAGTTATGATGAGATCATTATATCACAAGTAGTATAAAATGACTGAAAGCAAACCATTTAGAGCCGTACTAATAGAATTCTGTTTTGCTTAAATAATGCATGAATCTCAGTAAAACAATCAAAGTGCTCTTTTATTTACTCCTTATTCGCTATATTTTATGTGTTATATTTCTTCCTAAAACAGAGATTCCCAATTGCCAGATTATGGGAAAAGGTGTACATCTCTGCAAACAGACATAAATATTTAGAGAAATACAATAGTTTTAGGAATAACATGTATACTTATACTAATAAGTTAGATTATTGGCCCCCAAAACTATTAAAATAAAGGATTTTACTTACCCTGGAATGCCTGTCTCTGCGTGGCCTTCCTACCAATCCTGACAATCTCAGCCAATGTTATGTGTTCCTACAGGGAAGCAATGAGAGGCTACTGTGCAAATAACCATGCTGCGACAATCGTTTTCTTATAGAGATGCATTAAGTCAATTCATCTCTATGGGGAGCGTTCAGGGTCTCAATGCAGAAAGTGGAGACACTGAACGTCAGTCCTGCAATCTTTGCAGGACCAAACGCAGGAAGTCCTTTTAGTCCCTTTGGTGGCTGCTGGAGTGACAGCCACTAGAGGTGCTGTTATACAGCAGTGTAAACACTGCCTTTCCCCAGAAAATGTTGTGTTTATATTTCCCAGCCTGCAGGAACAGGCTATTTGGCCCAGAACCACTAAATTAAGTTGTAGTAATTCTGGTGTCTATAGTGTGTCCCTTTAAGAGACATTTGTCTGGTATACTCTACTGCATCCCCTTTTTTCTAACATGGAAAATTCAAAGTCAGTTCCTACAGAACATGAATACAATAAACATGAAAAGATCAAATTGTGAGTGAGTGGGGATATATTGTAAGGAGTACAAAAATAGTTTACGCTAATACACCCACAAAACAAGGAGAATATTGCAATTATCATTTTTGTATCTTTCTACAGATAACAAATTGCTGAGACAGAGGCCAGGCAAAAGTTAAGAAGATATTGAGTGCTGCTTTACATGGAACGTATGCTCGTTTGGTGGGACCGTCCGATTAAATTCCTCTTCGTGTTTTTAGTTGGTTTTAATAGAATAATATAACACTTGGGAAAGAAAATACAAACAAGTAAACCAGCAGCAGATGAAAGAATGGCAAATATTTCTACTGCTGTCACATATTTTCCACTTGTACTCATGTAACCTGGAATGAAGCTAACCCAGACTATAACAAAAACCAACAAACTGAATGTTATAAATTTTGCTTCGTTGAAATTGTCTGGTAAGTTTCTGGCCAGAAAGGCTAAAGCAAAGCAAACCAAAGCCAGGAGACCTATATAACCAAAGGCAACGAGAAAAGCCAAATCAGATTCAATATTGCATTCCAGAATTATCTTGGTCACCACGGCTTCCCTGTTCTTTTGTATGGATGAAGAAGAGGAAGAGAGGAATCCAATGCATATAACAATCTGAACTAAGGTAGTTAAACTAACTAACAGTCTTTGATGAAATGGTCGAAAAAGTTTGAAAACATTTTGATTGGGTTTTGCCATTGCAAAGGCCAGAATGACAACTAGGGTTTTCACAAAGATACATGAGATACATAAGACAAAACCTATGCCGAACACGGTCTGTCGAAGGACACAGAGTGCAGATGACGGTTGACCAATAAATGTGAACGAGCCAAGGAAACACATGGTGAGGGACATCAAAAGCAGGAAGCTCATCTCCAAGTTGTTGGCTCTTACTATTGGAGTGTGCCTGTATTTTATGAACACTGCTGTCACTAGAATGGTTTGACAAACACCCAGAGCAGCAGAAACCGAGAATGTGATCCCAAGAGGTTCTTCAAAAGAAAGGTAGTCCACTTCTTTGGGTACACATGAGTCCTTGTTTTTATTGGACCAGTAGTCGTGGGGGCATTTCAGACATTCAGTGAAATCTAAGCATACAAAATGACAAGTTATTTACAATACTAAGGCTGACATTATGTATAGTATGAAAATCATAAATGAAGGTAAATTAAATGCTGGTTTTAAATACTGTCCAACAGGTAGAACCCCAGATGTTGTAGAACTACTACTCCCATGATGCTTTGCCTTTCGAATGCTTTGCCTCAGACAAAGGCGGTGTAGCATCGCCGAAACGCGCGTCAGGCAGGCTCTTCTTATAGATTTTTTTAACCACACTGCTTTCTTCACAAATAGCAATTATACAGATCAGCTATTCTACTTCACCTACAGCCACAACCTAGGCTGCCACAGAAAGTATTAATAGGGTTTAATCCCTCTATATTAAGTGCATTTCCAAGGTGAACAGATTCAATATACCTGTCACGTACCTCATGGATACGATCGTTCCAAGAAGGCATATAGGTGAATTAGCTACCTCAGCAGGAACACAAGATTTATGGCCACGCGTGTCTGTTACATGGTATAGACATCATTATAGCAACCTTATGACTTGACAATTTATTAATAAATAAGGATAACGATTACAAGTAGTTGCTACGCCCGGCAACTATAGCAAAGATACGACTTGAGTGTGTCCTATATGGTCTACATGGGTTCTATATATCATCCAGGTTCAGCTGGTTTATTTATTATTTTTTGATTTTATATTCACTATTTTGTTGACACCTACTATATATATTTCTTAAATTTCTCAATAAAGGTTATATTTTAATACATACAGATCCCCCAGGGACTTCCCTTCCTGTGCCCTCTGGGGGTTTTCTTCTAGGGGCTACTTGCTCTTAATGCCTTTAGAATGCCAAAGCATCATGGGAGTTGTAGTTCTACAACATCTGGGGATCTACCTGTTGGGCAACCCTGCACTAAAGTCACTGATCTCAAAATGTTAAAATGATCCTTTACTTTTATTCACCAGGACACCAACATCAAAATTCACATGACGCCTACATTACTCCAATATCAGAATTTATCAATTTCCTAGATTACCTAAAAACCTTTTTTACTGTAGCGATATGTACATATTTACAATTCCCTTGTTAATTTTTTTACAATTCCCATAAATGTATAATTCGTCTAAAAAAACATGTTTCTATCACTGTGTGGAAGTTCCCCAATGATGGAATGAATCAGTCCTTCTATGTTTTTTTTTCTTTTCATTAATCAGTTGTCCTTCTATGTTAACATGATCACGTATATTAGATACCGAATAAAAACACACGTTTTAATGGATAGATTACCTGTTCCATTAGATATCTCTCCTTCTGGGCATGGAATACAGCTGAAGCAGCATATCGGTTGGCCCCGTAGGATGCTTTTCCTAAATCCAGGCTTACAACTAGTACTGCATTCAGACAGCGTTGGCTACAGTATGGAAAAAGAGAAAACTGATTACAGAATTACTGTCCATGTACTTATGGCTCATCCCATAATAATTTTAATTGCTGTCTTATGGACTCGTTTTACTTTTTTTTTTTACCACCTTACAGTTATATTGGGAATTGGGTGAGCACAAATTACTGAGTAGCAAGGGGTCTGTCCAGATGGGTTGTAAAGTCCAGTTTATTGTGAGCAAGTCAAGTTTGAAACCCTATATCTAATGCACATAAAAATACACCAACCTTGGATGTGGCTCCATTCCACAGAGTTGCCTGCTCATCAATTTCTAGCTGCTGTCCTTTTGGCATGCTGGCATCATAACTACCCACTTTACCGTACACAAGATAGCCGTCTGCTCTGATCTGCCAGTTTAACACGTCATATTTTGCAACAGGATCACCATTTTGGTCAAAGTAAAACTGTTTTCCTGCCTGATCTGTAAAATGTACCCTTTGTAATGCTTGCACCACCTGCAAATTAAGACATTATATTTCCTTTATAATAAGCTTTCCAGTTCTGCTATGAATAGTGCATTAATAAATAATCAAACTCCGTGTCGGACTAGGAACTAAAAGCAGCCCTGGGAAAAAATTCTATAACAGGCCAATAATGCGTTGCGCCAGCATAGTGTGCTGATATACAGGGTGAAAAAATAACTTAAAATTGAAAACTATTACTCCAACGAAAGAACGCATATAAGGCTTCAAAATAAACAAAAGAGCGCCTTTATTTTAAGTAGACGTACATTTGCATGTAATCAATGTTTCAGTACAACTACTTTGTCCTATTAAGGACATTTTAGTAATGTTACTGAAATGCTGAATGTCTGCGGTTGCACAACTGAAAAAAAATGAAGTGATCTTGTTTATTTTGAAGTCCTAAGCTCTTCACTTTGAATATGTTATTGTGCATGAGTATGCAACTAGCAACAAGACTGGGCCAATACTTGCTCATTACATATATGTATATAGTAATGACATTTATGTGTGTATTATGCATATATAAATGTATATTACTATATGTGTAAATATTATAGGCATAAATATATACGTTACTAATACACACATCAATATACATGCATATATATATATATATATATATATATATATATGTATTACTGTCAGGATCACATCAATTTACCTCGTTTAGTGTATCTTGTCTCCAATTGTCTCCTTTTTGTCTCTTACAGCGACCCTTGTGTATCTTTTACTTCATCCCAGGCCCTGTGTGTTTCTTTTTACCCTTCTTCTTTCTTCTCCCTCTCCTCCCTGTGTCTCTCTTCCCCATCTCCTTCCTGTGTCTCTCTCTTACCCCTCTGTCTCTTTGTTCCCCTTCCCCTGTGTCTCCATTACCCCTCTGTCTCTTTGTCCCCCTGTCTCTCTATTACCCTCTGTCTCTTTGTCCCCCCCTTCCCTAGTGTCTCTCTATTACCCATCTGCCTGTGTCCCCCCTTCCCTTGTATCTCTCTATTACCCCTCTCTTTGTCCCTCCTGTTATGGGCAAATGTAAATATTACAAGTTTTAGAATGAAATGTTGTATTTCTTAAACTGTGTACTTTGTCTTTAAGAGATATTGCAAACTGACAAGGTGTTAGAAATGGAACATATTGTTTCTTTTAGCAATAACCTCAGTGCATAATATGTTCGCGCCATTTTGTCCCAGACGAATTACAATAACAATAATGCATAAACAAGCTTCAAGGCTATACTACGACTCTTGCAGTACACAATATACTGTGGTAACCCCAAGTTAATGGAACTTCCCCAAATCCGGGAATCTCCCACGACTGTACAGTTACGACCTAGTATAAACAACAGATAACCTATTCAGATTTTAAGATGCCATCTTGAACTAAGTCAGGAAAATTTCCAAGACGTTTGCACCCTTTAGTTATGGCCTTGTATGTTTGCCAAATTAAGGGAGGTCCTAAAATGAATAAAGTAAATTAACTACGGTAACCCGAAAATGGAGACACCTAAGGTATAAATAGGTGTACTTTTAAATGTTAAGATACAGAGGAGAGACTTGGAGACAGAAGCTGCTCCATCTTAAAATGACAGAGAGGCTGACATGATGACATGTTCAGAAGGGTATGTTAACCTATTAATGATATTTGCAAGCATGTAATTTAATCTTATAAACTCTGCTATAATGGATTTTATATTTATATTTTTATATAATAAATATCCAAAAGGACAAAACTAATGCTTCCAAGACAATCCTTATTTTATATTGTATTCTCAATTATTTATATATGTTAAATAGAGGATCTCTTAGTAACTATATAAAATTATGGCTAAGATATCTGTATGGTTAGCCCTACTAAGTTCTATGCTTTAAGACATTATAGTGGTAAATAAGGGAACCACCCACAGTTACACTCCATCCCCTGTGTCTCTCTATTGCCCTTCAGTCTCTGTTTCCCCCCTTCCCCTGTGTCTCTCTATTAGCCCTCTATTTGTGTCCCCCCCCTTCCCCTGTGTTTCTATTACCCCTCTTTTTCTGTGTCCCTGCAAACCTTGTCACAGGAGGACTGAGGGAGGGGGCAGAGCTAACTACCATGCACTACCATGCTCCCTCGCGGTTCCCATATTTCCCAGCATCTACACATCATAGAGTAATCACTTAGGCGGCACCCGCACACTCACTGATACTGACAGCAGTCATACAGCACAGGAGATGGAGCCGCCGGCCGCAAGGTAAGTATAACCCCCTCAGAGTGTGCCACCGGACCAGCCACCCGGTGGCACCGACATGTGGCCGGCAGCCGCAATACTCTTAAAATATAGGGAGCAGGGCTCCCTTTCTATATGCAGCCCCACAGGTGCCGCGGCCCACCGGGAAATTTCCCGGTATCCCGGTGGGCCAGTCCGGCCCTGGTAATATACAATTTCTGGTGTATTTGTATGTAGATAAAGCTGCACTCTGCCTAATAAATCAATATTTAACAATGCAGTGCAGGCTATTTGCTTGTAGAAACTAGACTTGTATCAAAAACAGGAAGTACGAGAACTCTGAGAAAAGGCAAAAAAGCTTAAAGAAACTCAGTAGCTCGCCCTTCCCTGCTCTGTTCCTCTGTTAGTCCCTGCTCTGGTCCTTTTAAAAATGTTTTACTCAGTTGTATCATTACAAAGAGAACCTATATTATTTGCATATCAGATGGATCCCACCCAAAAGGGCAGCCGAGAACCAAAATGCTGGCAAGTTCTCTTTGCACAAGAGATACAGCAACCACAGAAGATCATTTTGGCCTACTTTGGACCTCATCAGCAAGGTGTGGCTGATATCCATCTAGGCACAGTGAGCATGGGATCCACGTCTCGATTACACTTTTATCTTAGGGTTAGCCCAAGCAAATTCATTGCAACAAAAATAGAGTGTGAAGTGGACCCTCTGTTCACTGTGCCTAAAGGGGTATCAGCTACACCTCACTGACAAGACCCAAAGAAGGTCAAAATGATTGTCCGGGGTTGCGGTATCTCTCGTGCAGAGAGAACTTGCCAGCATTTCAGTTCTGGACTGTCCTTCTGCATATTCAAATGGTATAGGTTCTATTTGTAATGTTACAAGTGAATAAAAACATGTTGAGACCTGCGCGGGGACTAATTACTGAGTTTCTCTAAGCGTTTGCCCATTCTCAAAGTTCTCATATTCTTTGTTTTTGGTACTAAACTTATTTCCGATGGTTCAACCAAGTCGAATGCCTTTTAATCAACATTCGACATAGCGATAGTTATCTATTTACTTGTGGAGTCTTATTTATTTAATAAGACTCCACAGGTAAACTTCTTACAATTGATTTGTCTGGGTGTGGATTAAAAGGCATTTAATTCAGACAAATCATTTAAAACAAGTCTGGTAGGTATACAGTTATGGAACAGTATACTCTATAATTGTAGCTACCCCTGTGAGCACTCTGGATAAGAGCGCTATATAAGGACTTTCAATAGGTAATTAAATAACAAACAGATAGGTATAAGCATATTGGGCATACATCATTAGGGTGCATACATCACATAGCATTTTTGAAAACATTTTTTATAAAAAAAATTAATGATAAACTGTGCATTTTGTATTTGTCAAATACAGAATGCTGTAAATGTTCTGGTTCAATCTCTATAGCAACTAAAACTGATTACATCATTCAGGTAGGAAGTCAGATGGAGCAGAGGTGATACAAATCAGCTCAGCCCTTGTGTACACCTATCCAAATATTCCCATTATCTGGCTGGTGGGATGAGATTTACCTGCCATGACTTCATGTCTCTTTCACTTACACATGCTTCATTTATGAATGATTCTTTATTGTTCCCACAGGAAAAAAGGTCTTCAAGTGCATTTGCAATGGCATATATGGAATTGTACACATTGCAAGTGATTCTCAGTTGTGACACCTGTGTATATGCATTGTTTACAGTTGATAGATTCTCGTTTCCACTGCAAATTGTTTCATTGCTATGCTCTTTTAGGTTTTTAAACCATGAACATCCAAATGAGTTTTCCCAGAATGTTTTTATGTTGATGTCTTCAAGGTTCTGCAGTGGATTAAGCTGTAAAAGAAACTGTTGCAGCCCAGAAATGGTTCCCTGGGGTATTGCAAGTCCCAAAGTACCACTAAAATAATTGACTTGATATTTTTCTATCAGAAAGACAGATGTACTCCACGCTTCGCTAGCTAACCATGTTCTTCCAGTAATATTTTTCTTAGTTATTTCCCCAAACAATGGTAGCAAGTTGGTATCTCCAGAAAAAACAATGATAACTTTTGCAGAGGAATGTCTTATTGTTTCAGCAATCGCTGAATACCGTTCTTTTGAATAAAAAAGCGGAATTGTTTCCGAGAATGCAATACAAGTTCCAAGCTTCTGAACCTGTTCAGAGAAGAGTTGGACTCCAAGATGACCATAATCATTATCTTCGGCCAATGTACCTACCCACTTCCATCCAAAGTGTTCCACTATGGCAGCGAAGGCTGTGGTTTGAAATGTGTCACTTGGTATGGTCCTAAAGAAGGAGGGGAATTCTTGTTTATTGCTAAGGGTATTTATGGATGAAAAATAGCTTACCTAAAGATAAGAAAAACACTGGATTTAAACTTGAATAGATGGGTTAAGAGCATTTATTTAAAATAACAATGGATGAATTTGGCAACTGACCATAGACTTCAAGGCATATTATCCGTTTATAATTTAGGTATTTCCAAGTCTAATTAAAATTAGGATGGTGACAAATCATTGGCCATTGATGTGCCTTTAGGACTGAGTTGGGAACCATTGTTATAGAGCTTTAATTTCGTAAACTTACTAATATAGCTTCCTTTAAATAGTTTGCCACCAGATTGCTCCTTAACTTATTTCATAATATTTGGGTGTATACATATATATATATATATATATATATATATATATATCATACCCATGATGCTCAAATAGTTTGAAATAGGTCTAACGATTTAGAAACATAGAAACATAGAATGTGACGGCAGATAAGAACCATTCGGCCCATCTAGTCTGCCCAATTTTCTAAATACTTTCATTAGTCCCTAGCCTTATCTTATAGTTAGGATAGCCTTATGCCTATCCTAACTTTATGATTATGATAGATGTAGTTCCCTTTTGGCTTCCCCTGCTTGACTGACACATCACTTTTTAATGGTCATTCTTCACAAGTGCCTATAGAATAATCCTGGAACATTCACTCTAACATTTTCACTCTTAGTAAATCCATAAATATTCAAACATCACGATATTGTGGTGATATTCCTCATATATTTTATAGAGTAATTTTGATTCATTACCTTCTGTGCAAGGAGGGATTTATTTAGTTCAGTGATGGCGAACCTATGGGACGCGTGCCATAGGTGGCACGCTGGGCCCTTTCTGTGGGCACGCAGCCATAGGTTCGCCATCAATGCAGAGTAGGCACCTGCCTGCCCAAAACAGCAGGCGCCTACTCTGCTTCCGTGTCGGGAGGCAGGGGGAGGGATCTGTGAAGCAGCTCCCCTGTCCTCCTGCGAGCAAGCTGTGTGGAGCGTTGCCGTGCGTTACCATGGCAACGCTCCACACAGGATCGTGCGGGAGGACAGGGGAGCTGCTTCACAGATCCCTCCCCCTGCCTCCCGACACGGAAGCAGTGCTTGCCACCACCGGACCACCAGGGATGGCTGTAACCCTTCCCCCTTCATTAAAGGTAATAAGGAGGGAGGGGGGGGATACTGATTTAGCATACTTTTTTTTTTAAACACCTTTACCCCAGCCCCACACACAGTACCCCAACCCCCACACAGCACCCCTCCTCAGCATCCCTCCCCCACACCCAGCTCCCCTCCACCCAGCATCCCTCCCCGCCCCTACCCCCCCCACACATAGCACCCCTACTCCCCCCCCACAACACACACAGCACCCTTACCCCGGCCCAGCACCCCCCACACACACACAGCACCCCCTCACACACACACACACAGCACCCCTCACACAGACACAGCACCGCACCACACACAACATCCCTCACACACACAGCACCCCTCACACACAACACCCCACACACAAACACATACACTACACCCCTCAATACAGTATGTGTGTGTATTCAGCGGACAGTGTGTGTATGTATTCAGCAGTCTGTGTGTGTACTCAGCAGTCTGTCTGTATGTGTATTCAACAGACTGTGTGTGTGTATTCATCAGTCTCTGTATTCAGCAGTCTTGTGTGTGTGTGTATTCAGGAGACTGTGTGTGTATGTATTGCATTTGTTGGAGATACTAATAAATATAAGCCTAATTTTATCTATTTATATCATTATTTAAAATTTGTATCATTGAACTCTCTGTTGTGTTCTTTTAAAACAAAAGTTGTTAATTAGTTCGGACAACAGTACGAGTTGTTTTTTCAAAAATTAAAACTCAGTATTGAGGTTTAATTGCTGTGTTGGCACTTTAAGGGAAAAAAAGTTGGCATGTATTGCGATTTGGGCACTCGGGCTCAAAAAGGTTCGCCATCACTGATCTAGCTCCTTCATGTAGATATTGAAACTACATTGAATTCATCTTTCACCGTTTCACAGGCTACATAAGTAAACAGGGGAGGGCTGACAAACCTTTTTGCCTTGGGCATGTACAAATGAATGTCTTGGGTATTTTTCTCATAAGACTCACAGAGTCCATACTCTCTGTGTGGCTGGTCCTGCTCACATTAAACATTGAAAACTAGCATTATTTTTTACATTTTACAAACTGAGATTTTTAAGGAACATTCTAATCTTCTAAATAAATATATTTACTTATAACATTGTAGTGTTCCTCTGTTTCCTTAGATTTTTGGACCCCATGTTAAAGATTAAAACTAAATCACCTTTTATTCAGAGCTGTCCTGGTCAGCTGCCACTCTTTTACTGAAATTATCCTGACTGATCATCTTGTTCTAGTCCATTGGTTCTCATAGATAAAGATTGCTGCACCACTGGCAATCACCATGCTTCCCAAATAGAATGCACTGCTTGACTTCTGAAAGTCTTCAGTAGGCTTCTCGTGGCTGTCTGATTGATTGATTGATTGATTGATTGAATGAATGATTGATTGATTGATTGATTGACTGACAGCCACTAGAGGCATACTCACTGACAAAACATAAACATTGCCATTTCTCACAAACAGCAATGCTTACATTTTTCTCTTTTTCTTACATGTCTATACACAACAACAAAAAACATTACATTAGGATGGGCGTTGAGTTTGATGCTTAGAATCTCTCTTTAAATAACGACACAAGCTCTAACCTGATCATAAATATCAATTACTTTTACACACCTGTGCCTCCATCAAGATCACAATTTTAATAGTCTTGTAGATATGACTGTGTGGAAGACAGATTCTTTCTTCCACACTTCTATAACTTATCAAGGATTGGGAATACTTGCTGGTTTACTGCGGCCTTTCGCCCTAGTATTTTAGTGAGCGCCTATTTACTGCTGTTTTTGCTATTTTTGTCGATATCAATGTCTCCCCAGAAATACCCCAATTTGCCATTCCGGGTCTGGAGAATATTGAGATTGCAGACCACTCCATGAGGAATTCCACACAGTTCTGGACCAGCAAAGGCCCAGCACAATCCTGCCTGTTCACGATTAATCACTACAATCTGAATTATTACAAATTAAATCCGGATGGTAAAACAGAGGCAAAAATAGGTGATCTGGCTGAATTCTCCAGTTCAAACGTAGTTACAACTTAGCTATATTTATGTTTTATAATTCTCTATATAAGAAATTGACAAGCAGGGAAATGCATACATATCAAAGGTGCCAAGAGGCAGCAGATTAGAGGAGTACTTCAAATTCACAGTAAGGTAATATCAATACACAGTGAGCTAACACATGTACAGTGCAAATATACAGCCATAGATACCAAATTAAATCTCCAAACCAACAATTAGAATCCAAATCTTTCCATACTCGGAAATACCTTCTGCCCCCCTTGCCTAACCTGCATATATCCTCTTGTCAATTCTACTCAGACAGAGTGAATAATGGTGAATACTATAGAATGCATGATACAGATTATAGGATCATCAATAGCATGTGATTGCATTTCTCTAACAGCAGGATGTAATAGCCCTCAATGACAGACTTGTACAAATTAAATCAATGATACTTTGTTTGCAGCAGATAATTCAATAAATGAAATACGATCTTTCCAATTACATAAATGAATTTTGCATGTTGTGATCAATAGGTAGTATTCAGTAGTATAGAGATGCCATATAAAAGTTGAAAAAGTTGCAATTATAATGCAATACAGACAGTTGTGGATTAGTATATATTTATTTCCAATAAATCAATTTTGCATCATATTTGTAGCTTTAATTGTAAGTACTTCTATGATTCTATATGTCCAGGTTTACTGTGCTTTGAGGTTACAGTTTAAAAATGTAATTTTATTCATTATTGTGTGACAGTTTCCTTTTTCTAGATTTAATATGTGGTGTTTAATAATTCATGTATTATATGCTGATGTCATTTATAGCTGAGACTAGGGCATTCATTACGAGAGGCATAAACACATTGTAGCTGTTTCTAAATTAAAGGCAGTGATAGACTTTCAGGCTACTCATTAAACTTGGAGTTGTGGAGAAATTATGTTTTTGACTTCAGTAGCTAAAATGGAAAAAGAGTGGCTATTTTGGCATAACCCAGTTTGTGTTCTGGGTGCTATTCCTGCAAACAAGGAATTGTATTTGTTATATTTATTTTTTCATTACTGAAAATTGTTACACAATCTCTTTTTTGGAAAAAAAATGCTTGTTTTTTAAATTCTGTTTTTGAAATATGAAATACGGCCATGATCCCTGTAATCTACCTGTTTAGCAACTGGAAGCACTGAAAGTATTATATATCTGAACATTTATTGATCTACACCTGCTTCCTATTTATAAAATACCCGTTGACATTCTTCAATTTGCTATACTTCATTTCTGTAAAACAAAATAAGATCAGAGAAATAAAGAAACAAGTAATCTTAGAAATGGTGATGCTAAAGGCACCTGTCCCTTTATATTTATTAACAACTCATCAACAAAAGTCAATGGCTCTGGCAATTAAGCCTTAACATCTAGGTGAATGGGGGGCTCCAAACCACTAGAACTTGCAGGAGGATCTAACTGCTAACTGCCTTAGACATCTTGGCTAGGCATTCTGGGGTACCCCCACCTGAAAACCGTTTACAAAATCTGGGAAAGTTTAGCCATGACCTTCTAGCACTATAACCACTACAATAAACTGAAACTGTTGGTGCGTAGACTGTTCCTTTTAATACATTCCTTGTCTAGGATGCTTTATAAGATTATATGAAATATTGATTATGGATTGTGTTTTAACAGAACCCAAGAAAGCAACCTCATTTATGTACAAAGTGTCAACATCAGGATTGTGTATCTTTATTTGTTTTGTTAGCATTTTTTTAAATGATTGCAGAAATACCTGCGGAACATGAAAAGTGCCTAGGATTCTTGCCATGGCTATTGATATAGCAGAGGCTGATTCACCAATAACAGCTATTAACACGGAGTCCATTTGACAGTTGTAGTTTGGAATGTATCGCTTCGAGCCAGTTATTAATGTGAGCATTTCCTCCATAGCTATCGCAACACTATCACATGTATCATAGAGTGCGTAACCTAGAGTTATGTTAGGGAGCAGATTTTCATTGCCGTTTATCTCCTGTATTGCAAACATCATTGCTCTCATCCAACGGAAACTCCTAAAATCAAAGCTTAAAAAAAAATGAAAAAAAGAACAAAACAAAATATAAAAAAATATATCTAAATAGCAATGTATAATAACAATGTGCAAAATCAGAACAAAAATGTGGTGTATGTACTGTGTAAATTTAGTGTGAGAATAGCAGTTTTTTTCATGTCAGTTCATTTTAGGAACATATCATAGCTGGGCTGGCATAAGTCTCCACTTAAAGGACCACTATAGTGCCAGGAAAACAGCCACTAGAGGCTGGATTAACCCATTTATAAATATAGCAGTTTCTCTGAAACTTCTATGTTTACAGCAGAAAGGGTTAATCCTAGAGGGACCTGGCACCCAGACCACTTCATTAAGCTGAAGTGGTCTGGGTGCCTATAGTGGTCCTTTATACAAAATTGGACTTTTTGTAAATAACGTTTTGTCCCTGGATTCTCAAGTGGGTTCCCAAGTCACCAAAACAAGCTGTTTAATGTATATAAAGGACTCCTGATCCCATTTGTGAGGCAAATTGTGTACGGGAGAATAAGTACAGTGTTGATTAATTAACCAAATAAATGCTCTTGTTCAGAAACATTTCTTGATTTTTTCCCATTGTTTAATATAAATTAGAAAAAAAATTCTCCAACTCATTTTTAGTCACATATGGGCTATTTTTATATTCAATACAATTCTGTGTTTATTGAATAAACCAAAACATGTATTTTTAATATTTAGATATGTATCATGTTTGTATGAACTTGTTCATTAAAAGATTTGAAATCTAAACATAATTTGAAAGGTTACGAGTTTATTTCTGTCGTTTATGCATTTTGTATGTGAAAAAATGTATAATTTTATACACTATAATGGCTGATAGCTTTCTCTTTTTGGAACCAAGCCCAATTTATTGCAGCCCATCTGTTAAATCGAATTCAATTAATGAAAATAAGCTTAATTCCATTTTACTAATGAATTATCATTCTTAAGACAGAGTATGATTTTAAAAGATATGTTTCACAGGAAATGTTATACTTTAAAAAAACAAAAAAACCTTGTGATATAAGCCACAATATAGTATTATGCTAAAAGTTTTAGAACAATTGAAAATCTGTATTGCTCCTAATTAGAAATATTTAAAACAATTCAACTTTATACTATCTTATATAAGATTTGAACATTTTAATCCCTGTTTAAAACTGTTGAATGTTTATTTTTATGAATAATCAATATCATTCAATTTCTTTAAAAATGTATTTTTCACATTGGAAATATTGAAACAATTACCTGTTATCACACATTTGGACTGGATTGGAGGCGAAGTTCGGAGTTGCTGTGTTTCCAAAACGTCGGACAGGGAACACACCACCAATAATCAGATTCCTATTACTAAAAGACCCTGGGATAAAAGTATTCTGTAATCTGCATAATGAAAGATTAATTTGGCAAAAAACTAAAAGACGTGAACAAATCAGACAGAAAACATAAAGCAAGCCTGGTTTAGTTGGCCCCATATTATTAAAACAAAGTCTTACTTCTCATCCCCTATCATATACTCTGCAGAAAATGATTGTAATAATGTTTAATTGCCCTAAAACCTTTTTTATACCCTGAAGGATGCTTCGATGCATATTAAAATGATGGCACATGGATTTCCTGTCAGTACTCATTACATCTGATGTGTTTATCTTATAACCAATCAACCAAGGGTAAAAGCTCATAACGCAAAACACTTTTTATCAAGTATTCAGAAAGCGGTAAGTTTCATTAAATGGTGAAATGTTTGTGGAATCTCACTTAAAAAGGTAATTAAATTTACCCAACTGTTGTTTGTTTTATTTATTTTATTGAATACAAGCATTTCAGAGGCATAGATATAGTGAACATTGTAATATAAATCATCAGAGCCCGGTTCCGTCTTAGTAGTAAAAAGCATTTAATTTGAGTTTTCTTCATAGACCTTAGAGTTGATGTTGATGAGATGAGCATTTCTCACACAAAGTTCAAAATAATTCCATGCAAAGTTTGTGGAGGTGTTTGTTTGGGGGGATTTCACGATTGCAGCAAAAGTGTGTGAATTTTGCTCACTGTGGCACAAAAGAAGAACCGCTGCTATGCATTGCAATTATGGTTGCTCTATAATATGTAGGGAAATGACAATGAACAAGTTTCATTGATAAACTTGATAAACTTTAGTCATTTTTCAACCTAGACAACTATACAACTATGCAAGTTGCAAGAAATTGTTAACCATGGCACCCTTAATGGGCACCAGTGGTTCCCTGGCAAATAAAGCAACCAAAGGCAAGTTTTAATAGCGTAAGAGGGTGAGTTTAAACATGCTGCTTTGAAATGTAAGCCGTGGGACATTTGCTAGGCACAGTGGTATAACATATGGGTTCTCTGAGTCCTCGACATTTCTTACAGTTCTAAGACATGGTTGGGTTTCCAACCCTAGTTTTGAAGTTTTGAGTGGTATTTGCTACTGAGAAACGTATGTGAACAGTATCTGTGATTTAAGATGCTCAAGAGATGTGTCTCTAAAGTGAAAAAATGAGAGGCAGAAATCACAGCATTTATGACAGATATTACATGTAAAAATCTAATGACCGCAAGTACCATTTTTTGACAAAAAAAAATGCACACTCAAATTTTATTCTACAAACTCTAAATAGAAACATAGAATATGATGGCAGATAAGAACCATTTCGCCCATCTAGTCTGCCAAGTTTTCTAAATACTTTCTTATAGCCCCTGGGCATCTAATCTTATAGCTATGATAGCCTTATGCCTATCCCATGCATGCTTCAACTCCCTCACTGTGTTGATCTCTACCACTTCAGCTGCAAGGCTATTCCGTGTGTCCACTCAATCAGGCTGTAAGTGCTTTGTGGTCTCAGTTATTCGTTCCATTTTGACATACATAATTATTTTACGCAAACAAGATTAATATGTATAAAAATGTGTCTGCTATGGCAAAAAAAAAAGTGTGAGAAAAAAACACAAGTCAAAATCATGATATGTTTAATTATCATTATATGTAAGTTTGCATAGATGTATACTATGAACTAAAGCATGTAAAAAAAATATTTATATTAATGCAATAAACAGTTTTACAATTGTTCTACAGGCAAAGCTAGATATGGCAGTCTTTCACCAGGATTTTTACGATCTCTGCGTGCAGACACTGGCTTAGATACCAAGCCTAGTGTAAAATTGAATCCATCAATTTAGCTAAAACAGACTGCTTTTAAAAATCCAATTAAAATACATTTTTAATACGAAGTGGAGTATGCAGAAAAGAAAAACATTAATTTATTTAAACTTAACAGCTTCGTGTGAAAGAAATACAAATTTAAAAATATCCTTTAAACATTCTCAGGAGAGTAAATTTAATTTAGCTGAAATTATTACAAAAGCAAATTATGTACTGTAATGAGCCAGAATGTACTTTTTCCCTTATGGAAATGTGTGTGTACAGCTGTAGCATGGGTTATTGAAGGATCCGACATTTCAGTGTGCTTGCACAGGTGAATCAACTCCATTGTGTATAATTTGTGTCACATGAATTAAAGATGAAATATGTTCAAAAATTATAGAGGAAAGTCAAGCTCTGTCCTTTTAAAAAAATACTTTTGGTCCATAAAGGCAGATCTGTAATGTTTAAGATAAGAGTATTCTTAAAACCAGCAGATAAAAGTAGCTTTGAGTTGTATGTACAAAAAACATTTATTAATAATTGTTTTAATTGTGAAACCAATTTACAATCTCTTGTATCCATCTTTCTTTCAAATAGTTTTTATTAATACATTTTTCAATAACAATACAGAAGAGAAAATAATTATAACAAAAATATTGGGGGAAATGGTATAATATCCAAAGTTTGTCTACCCCCTATTCTTCCCTTCAGCCCCTCTCAGTTGGGGTTCTTCAAAGTTCTACATGACCTGCTTGTTTTCATGCCAAGCTACCGCCTATTTGGATTACTACAACCCACTCTACACTGATTTCCAAATGCACACACGTCTCTCCATAACAATGCCCCAAACATCACATCTATACTAACCAGTTAATGCATCCCATCCCAGTTCCTTCACTCTACAACAACTTGCACCTATGCTCTGTTTACGTAATTTCACCTCATATTTTGAGCTAAATAAAGCAACGGACACCACTATAGAACATCTGGCAAGTCCTTAAAACTGCGATCAGAGGACTTTTCATAAAATACGGCAGTTACACGAAAAAACAATGTATACAAACATATACTATACTCATTCAAGAAATCACAGAGTTGACACACAAGAATAAACATGACCCTAAATATACAGAACACATGGACCTCCCAGCCCACAAATTGTGGCGGTGCTTACCTTATCACAGTAAAGCTAAATGAAGAGAAGTGATTGAACGGAGACTTGCATTGAGTAAACGATAGCGGCAACGGGTCAAAGAACTATGGTGGTGATATGGAAGGGAAAGATCTGTGAGGTGAAAAGAGCAAGACGGTGCTATGTGAAGAGGTACAGAAAAAGCAAAGTCATAAGGGTCTGAATTGAGAAAATTGGACATACAAGCCTGACACGATAAGAACCAGTAAAGAAAAAGTCATTGTGGATGAAAGATTCAAGAATATTGCGAATTTATCCTGATTTATCACCATATATAAGAACATGGAGAAAGAGGTTCAGTGACACTCTAATTCCTCTTAAACAGCATAAAATAAAATACCGCTGGGGAATATCAAGATCAATCATGGTATTTTGGAAAGATACAAGGAAAGTATTTTATGATCCTAAAGAAATAGAAGTCTGGACAAAAGAGAATGCCTTATGAGTTGATAAGTTCTGAGGAGGAGCGGGAGAGTGGGACAAGGGAAGAGAGGAAGAAGGAAGAAGAAAGGATGCATAATTTTTAAGAGGAAGAGAATGAAGAAAAAAGAAATTGGAGGGAAGAAAATCAATCTGAACTTGGATTTATTTTTAATTTTTTTTCTCACACCTGTTTGGAGAATGTTGATTTGATGAATATGGAGATAGGGGAGTATATATAAATAATTTGCAAGTTGAGATAGTAGGCACAATCCTAACGACTATAAATATAATCATAAATATATGAGTTATGGATGGGATAGAGAATACAAAGTTACAAAAAGGTTGTTTGTAGATGATAGTATGCCTGACAGTTTTTTCACGAGTGAAAGGATAGATAAAGGATAAAAATAATAATGGGCCTTTTAATGTTTAATAAAAGCATATACGAATAAATAACAACACAGATTAGGAAAATAGAGGATAAATATATTGTCACTTTGAGACATTAATAATTTGATTTGACATTTGGAAGGGTGTTCACTGTGTAAAGATGTGGAAAATGTGTAACGTAGTAGTAATTATAGAAAGGTTAAAGATTTTTTTAATTTTATTTTTTTGGTGCTGGTTTGATAAATATGGAATGTAATAGTTAAATAAGTGATCATAAGGGTAAGGTAACACAAATACATGTATAGAATTCATAATAACAGAGACAGTTGAGTATATATAAATAATTTGCTAGTTGAGATAGTTGGCACAATCTGAATGATTATAAATATAATCATAAAAGTATGAGTTATGGATGGAATAGCGAATATTAAGACATGAATAGGATGTATTATATATCAACAGTATGTTTGATAGAGTTTATTTACAGGTGATATGATAGACAAAGGATAAGAAAAAAATTATTGGTTTTATAAAGTCAAATAAAAGTATGAATGAATAAATAGGAACACAGATTAGGATAATGGAAGATGAACATCTTTCAATATTTTGAGATATCAATGATTATACTTGACACCTGGGAGGGCGTTCAATGTGTAAATATGGAAAAAGCCTAAATTAGCATTAATTATAGAAAGTTTAAAGATTTTTTTTCTCTCTCTCTCTCTTTCTCTCACTATTTTGTATGTGGCTTGGCTACCTTCCCGCTCACTCCCCTACTGCCTCTAGTTAATATAATCAAGGGAAATGTTTGAAGGGACAGTGGGGGAGAGAGGGGATATAGGTGGTTAAAAAGAGATGAGACTCTCCTCCCCTATGGGACACTTAGGATCGATGTTTCTGCCACATTAGTTCTCTGCCTTAAGTTCTGAAATCAGACCTCAGGCATGAGCACACTTAGGAGTTGTGACATGAGAATTAGGAAGAGGACAATTTATGGGTCTTCTAACTTGGTTTGTGATGCATAGTTTTCACATATATATTTAGGGGGATTGGTATTTTTAAAAAGTGTTTTATATGTTGTAATGGTTTTGTCTGAGAGGAAGGTTGGATTCTCAGGAGTGAGTAATGTGGGAGATAGGCGGTTATGAAGTGTATTTCTATGAATGTGCAGGGGCTTAATACCCCGTATAAAAGA